TGGTGGGGGCTGTCAGTGCTACCGTGGGAACAGTGCTGGGGGGAGCTGCATCGTCCTCCTGGTGTTTGGGGGCTGTGCCCACCTTCACCCCCTGCTGTGTCCCCCTCCCAGGCCAAGTACAAAGCGCGGGAGGCGGCGATGAAGGCGCAGTCAGAGAAGAAACACGGCTCAGATAAAGAGGAGCGCGGGAAACTGCCCGAGTCTCCCAAAACAGCCGAGGAGATCTGGCAACAGAGCGTCATCGGGGACTACCTGGCTCGTTTTAAGGTGAGGGGATCATCACTCCCACCAGCAGGAGTTACCGTGTACCTTCTCCCTGGCTTTCACACCTGGGTTTGGGTTGGGAGCTGTGGGGAAGGCGGGGTAATGGGGTGGAGTGTCCTGGGCATTTTGAGTGCATCTAATGCGTCGTGGTGGTTCTGTGGTACAGAATGACCGGGGCAAAGCGCTGAAGGCCATGGAGGCCACTTGGAACAACATGGAGAAGAAGGAGAAGCTGATGTGGATCAAGAAAGCGGCGGAGGATCAGAAGCGATACGAGGTGGGTCCCTGCCCTGTCCTGTCCCTCACTGTGTCCAGTGGCTGATGCTGCCCCTCTCCCTGACCCCTCTCTCTCCTCTGGCTCAGAGGGAGCTGAGCGAGATGCGGGCCCCTCCGTGCTCCACCAACTCCACCAAGAAAATGAAATTCCAGGGAGAGCCGAAGAAACCCCCCATGTGAGTACCAGGGATCCAAAAAACTGGGTCTGGCTGTGCTGGTGGGACGAGCCTGGAGCAGCTGCAAGAGGAGGGAGGGTGGGCTGGGTGGAGGGGGATTATGGATGCCTGGGCTGTTTGTCCCAATCCGGTCTCCGTGCTCACCCCTGCAGGAATGGTTACCAGAAGTTCTCCCAGGAGCTGCTGTCCAACGGGGAGCTGAACCACCTCCCGCTGAAGGAGCGGATGGTGGAGATCGGCAGCCGCTGGCAGCGCATCTCCCAGGGCCAGAAGGACCACTACAAAAAACTGGCAGAGGAGCAGCAGAAACAGTACAAGGTGCACCTCGACATCTGGCTCAAGGTGAGTGTTGGGCCTGATGCCCAGTGGCGGGCTCTGGGATCCGTTGATTTTGGGGATGATGCTTGGCATGGTCTCTGCTCAAACCCTTCCTGACGGGAACCACCATCTCCAGGCCCTTTTTTGACATTTTGTAACTTAAAAGGATAAAAATGTATATATATGAGGAGGGTGTGCCCTGTGCTAGAGCCCTTCCCTGCTCCATCCCCCATTCCATTTGGTGTCTGCCCATCCCTGACTGTGTCTTGTCCCTGCAGAGCCTCTCGCCCCAGGAGCGGGCTGCCTACAAGGAACACATTTCCAATGTGAGTATCTGTGTGGCACTGCTGGAGGGCGTTGTCCTGGGGGTTTGGGGGTGTACTGGGTATCCCAAGGGCCTGGGGCCAGGCTGGGGTCAGCCCTGGACGAGGTTTGGATGTGTCACATTCTGAGAGCCCCTCCAAGGGGGATTCACCCCTGTGGCAGCTCAGCAGTGGGATTTTCTCTGGGCTGGGCACTGGGAAGGAGCAGAGCTTGAGCCCTAAATGGTTTTGTTTTGTCCCCCCTCGCTGCAGAAACGCAAGAGCATAGGGAAGATCCGGGGTCCCAACCCCAAGATGAAGCCAACGATGCAGTCCAAGTCGGTGAGTCACAACAGCCACATGGGGACACTCGATGCCCCCTCCCTGGGGAACGTGTCTGTGGGGACCCACACCGCTTGTTCAAGGCACCCCTGGTGCTTCCAGCTGCCTGCCCTCTCCTCGAGACCATAAGCCACAGGCCCTCCCCAAATCCCTGCTTACTACCCATTCAGGATGGATTTTGTCCCCTGGCACCTGTTCAGGGAGCCTTTTTGGGACCATTTGCAGCATAAATGGGGAAAGGCCTCGGTCAAGGTGTGGGGTGGGGAGTCACCTGATCCTGCTCAGTGGATGGAGGAACCCAAAGGTTGATGGCCAAGGACGGGGTGGGTGCTGCACCCGTGGGTTCGGGTGCCTCGGGGCTCCCACCTACATCAACCCCCTCTCGCAGGAGTCAGAGGATGACGACGAGGAGGAAGAGGAGGAGGAAGACGACGATGAAGACGAGGATGATGATGACGACAACGGCGACTCGTCGGAGGAAGGCGGCGACTCCTCAGAGTCCAGCAGTGAGGAGGAGAGCGAGGACGGGGACGAGGTGAGGCTGCGGCACGGGGAGGGCTCGGGGAGGGCGGTGGGGCCGCCGGGGCCCCCCAACATTCCCATTGCACTCACTCTGCCCCCCTCACCCTCATCCGGGGCCGGGGGGCCTCCGCAGCCAGGCTCAGATAGAACCGTGGTGGAGCAGCTCCCGGGAAGCAGGGGGGGATGCAGGGAGGCGAAGGGGAATGGGATCCCCCCCCATGTTCCCGGGGAGGGCGCAAGGAGCAGCCGCGGGGCGTAGTCAGGAGCAGCCTCGGGACGTAGAGGTGCGGGGGGGATGTGCAGAGCCCCCAGTGAGCAGAGAAAAATCTCCTGTCTTTTTCCTGGTGGAGATACTGAGTCTGGTCTCGGCTCCGTTTGCGCCAGTGTGAATGCCGAGTAAGTCACCAGAGTCAAAGCTTTACACCGGTGCAACTGAAATCAGAGTATGCTGGATGGCGCTGGGGCCAGAAACCGTGTCCGTGCCTTGTGCTCGCCACCGGACAGGTGAGGTGTTTCCACCCCCTCGCTGGTCTCAGCTCACGCCTCTTCCTTCCCTGGCTTTAGAGGGGGGAAACTGAGGCACGAGGCGGGTCGGGTACCCTCCCTCGGATCGTGTAGCGAGGCAGTGGCAGAGGTGAGGGCAGGACCCCCGCGCGCTGCTCCGGCACGTCCCCCCCGCCCGGCATCCCTGAGCTGAGCCCTTGCAAACACACTCCTGACTCCTGCCCGGCGTCCCTCCTCCTCCACCCCCCAAGTCCCCGGGGGACAGCGGTGGGAGGGATGGGGTTGCACCCCTGCGCTCTGTGGGGACCCCCCTGTGCTGCAGTGGGGAGGGCAAAGGGGTGACGATGGGTAAACCTTGCCCTGACCCCCCCCCGTCCTCTCTGCCATCACCCTCCCAGAACGATGAGGATGACGAAGATGAGGATGATGAGGATGAGGATGACAACGACTCAGAGGGCAGCAGCAGTTCCTCCTCCTCCTCGGGGGACTCCTCCGACTCCGACTCCAACTGATCCGGCCAAGCTCTTCGTAACGTCGTTTGGTTTCTCGGTTTCGGTCCCAAATCCCACTCGCAGCCCCCCAAAATCCTTCCTCTGCTTCCTCCTGACCCCCTGGGCGAGACACAGCCCCCCCGTGGGACCCCCAACACGAGGAACAGGGGTCGGGGGGACCCCTCCACCAAGCTCACACTACGGAGGGGGATCAGGGGGCTGCCCCCCCCCGGCTGGGGGGCAAGGAGGGGGCCCCCCATCCCTCCCCCCCGCTTTACTCCCGAGGGGAAGTGATTTATTTTTTTTTTGAATTTCATTCTTTTTGGGGAGGGGGGCATCCCTACCCCCATCACCCCCTCGCTACCAGCTCCGGACTTTATAGAAAGAGAAGAAAAACACACAGGAAAACAAAAAAACACAAAACAAAAAAAAAGAAACAAACAACAGCACCCCCCCCCCCCCCCCAACACACCTTTTTTTTTTTAATTAAAAAAACCAGAAACGGAGAAAAAAAATATCCCCCCCTCCCCGCGCAGCCCCTCCGGCAGCGGGCGCGGAGCACGAGCCGAGGCGCTCAGGACTCAGCCGATGGGACAATGTCTCCTTTTGCAACCTCCCCCACCCCTCTGTGCACCCCCCCTCCCCCCCAAAAAAAAACCCCCTTGTACAGTCTGGAAGCTGCACCGGGAGCTGCCCGGGAACTCTGCATCCACGGCACTTGGGAACGCCGGCCACGGACCGGACCGTGACCACCCCCCTGCCCCGGCACGTCCCCGAGTTGGTGGGGGGTGGGATTGGGGGGGGGGGTTGAAGGGAGGGGGGAGTGTGTGTGCGAGCGTGCGAGTGTGTGCCAGGGTGGGGGGCACCCGGGGGCTCAGCGTGACCAAGGGGGGGGCGCGGGGTCCCCCCCGCTCTGTTGTCGGTGGTTGTTGTGCCGTTGTATTTTATTTTATTTTTTTTGTTTGGTTTTTTTTTTTCCTTTTTATAAAACGAGAAAGATCCATCTTTTATTTTCCCCCCCCCCCCCGTCCACATCCCCCTCCCTCTTTCCACCCGTTTTCCTTCCCCTCCCTTCCCCCGTTTTCCCCTCCACCTCCAGTGAAGCTGCTCCTCTCCCTTCACCCCAAATCCTTGGGGGGGGGGGTGTGACACCAGCACTCCCCTTGCCCCAGTTTACCCCCAGTTATCCCCAGTTTGTCCCCCCCACCGTGGAGGTTTCATGCCCCTCGGGCCATGCTGTAAATATTGGTGTGGTTTGGGTTTATTTTGGGGGGGTCAATGCCCCCCTCCCTGGGAGGGGGATGGGGCCGTGGGGACCGGGGTGGGTGCATTGGGGGGGGCCTGTCAGGGGTCCCCCCCTTTTTTTAAGCAGACACGAGCACCAGCAATCCCACGGCACCTCCCTGCAGGGTTCCTGTCCCCCCCACCCCCCCCCCCCCCCCAAAAAAAAACCCCCTCCCAGTGTCACTGGGGACCCCCACTATACTGGGGGGGGCACAAGGTTGGTTCTTTCTGCCCCCTCCCATCCTGACCCCGGAGACGAGCTGGGCTGTGGGACAGGATTTGGGGGGCCCCAGGGAAGGGGACGGAGGGCACTGCCCCCCTCCCAGCTGAGGAGGGGGGGGCTGGTGGGGGCTTTTTCTTCCCTGGGCTATAACTTGGCCATTTTTCTCTTCTTTTCACTCAAATCGCAGTGGGGGCTGAGGGGGGGGGTCAAGCTGCAGGTTTGGGGTTTTGAGGGGGGTCCCTCCCCTCCCATCTCTAACCCCCTCCCAGGTTTGCTGCTCTCAGCACCCCAAATCCCCCTGAAGACTTGGGGGTGGCAGAGGGGGCAACACCCCTTATCCCGGCCTCAAATTGGGCTGAAAAACCACCATTTTGGGCAAACGACCCCAAACCTGGTGGGGGTGGGGGTGAACCCGGGTGCTCCCGCACGGACAATCCCCCTGTGTCCCCCCCGGGACCGGGGCCCCGAAGAGAACCCAGATGGTGTCCCCCTCCTCCATAATGTCTGTCTGTCCATCCCTCTGTCTCCTCCTCCCCTTCCCCAATCCTTTTGGGATTTTCCTTTCATTTTCTTCCCAATTTTTAATCCCCCTTCCCCCCCGAAATCCCCTAAGGGGAACCCCGCCATCCCTTTTTTTCTGCTGAATGTACCCAGCACCGTCGTGTTTCAGTGGATGTGTTTTTAGTACAAAAAAAAAGACAAAAAAAAAATTATCCCCCTTTCCCCCCCTCTTTTTTTTCTGTTTAAAAAAAATAAGAAAAAAAAAGGTAAAAAAAAAATTAAATAATAAAAAAGAAAAATTCTTACAGCGCCGACAAATTTGGGGAGGGGGTGGGGGGAGAAGGTGTTTGCGCTGCAAGAGAATTCCTGAGTGCATTTTGGCACTGCCACAAAATCCCGGGATCCTTTAGATGGAAGTTCTTGTGAATTACGTTAAAAAAAAAAAAAAAAAAAAAAAAAAAAAAAAAAACCCACCGGAAAAAAAAATAAGATTAAAAAAAAAAATCATCTTTTTTTTCTAATATTTAAAGAGTGTTTTTGTAGGTTTAAAAAAAAGACAAAAAAAAAGAAAAAAAAAAAGAAAAATAATAATAATAATCCCGACTTGGAATTTGTACGGCTGAGCGGGACACGGGGGGTCGTGTCCACGGTTTCCCGGTTTGCTTGGGGTTTCAGTTCTTTATTTTTGTTGTTGTTTATTTTGGAGCTTTTTGGGTTTTTTTCTTTTTTTTTCCTGTTTTTTTTTTTTTTTTGGTTGGTTTTTTTGTTGTTTTTTTTTTTTGTATAATAAAGTGAAAAATAATGTTTCTGTTCTCATGTCATTACTATAAAAAATAAAACTTTAGGAAAAAAAAAAAGTCAAGTGTGAGGAGTGTTTTTCCCTCCCTCCTGTGGGATCCACTTGGGGGGGGGATCCTGAGGGAGTTGAGGGGACAATCCCTAGGGGATCATTTTGGGGGGATCCACAGGGATTTGGAGTGGTTGCTAGTGGGGAGTGGGTTGGGATTGTGGAGGGATCTGTGGATCTGGAATGGCACAGGGGTCTGCTGGGGGGATCTGTAGGGAAGAGGATCAGAGAGTCATTTGGGAGGGGAGATCTGGGGGGGTCTCTAAGGGTAGGAGGGATCTGTAGGGTTGGGGGGATCCTTGGGGTGTGGGTGTTCCATAGGGATGGGGTAATCCCTAGGGGTGATGTATCCTTGGGATGAGGGGTCCGTGGGACTGGTGGGATCCCTGGAGAAGGCGAGGATCCATAGGGATGGGGGGACCACGAAGAGAGGGGATCCATGGGAATGGGGGCAACACCGGCACTGGGGGTCCCCGGGATGAGAGGCCCGGTGGAGTCGGGGGCTGGGGGGATTGGGGAGTCCAGTGGGGTCTGGGGGAATTGCGGGGGGATCGGGGGGCCCCGGGAGGATCGGGGATCCGTGGGTTCGAGGGACAGTGGAGATCGGGGGGTCCGAGTGGATCGGGGGTGCCGGGACTCCCCGGGGATCCGTGGGTTTGGGGGTCCTTGGGGCTCGGGGGACCCGGGGGAGATCGGGAACTTCGGGGGGATTCGAGGGCCTGGGGGGGTTCCGAGGAGATCGAGAGTCCGCTAGATCCTGGCTCTGCGGGATCGGGGGTCCGGTGGAATCGGAGACCCGCGGGTTCGGGAACATCGGGAGGGCCGGGGGTCTCTGCAGAGGGACCGGGGAGATCGAGGGTCCGTGGGTTCGGGGGTCTCCGCAGAGGGGTCGGACCGCGGGCAGCTCCGAGGCCCCCGCAGGCGGCCCCCGGCCCCGCCCACCCCAAACACCGCCCACCCTTCGCCCCGCCCACCCACTTTCGCCCCGCCCCTTCCCCACCGCCCCCCGCCAAGGCCGCGCGCCCGGCGCGGCGGCGGCTCCGGCCGCTCCCATTGGCCCGCGGGCCCCTCACGGCGCCTCCCCATTGGCCGGGAGCGGCGCGCGGCGGGGGGCGGGGCCGGGCGCGCGCCGGGCGCGGCGCCCCGCCTCCCCCTCCCTCACCCCCCCTCCCTTCCCTCACCCCCCTCACCCCCCTCGGCCGCCGCCGCCGCCGGGCGGAGGCACCGCCAGGCCCGGCCCGGCCGCTCCGCCCGCCCGGCACGGCCCCGGCACGGCCCCGGCACGGCCCCGGCACGGCCCCGGCCCCGGCCCCCGAGCATGGCGAGCCGCCGCCGCTGGGCCCCGCGCCGGAGCGGCGGCGGGCGCTGACCCGGCCCCGCCCCGGCCCCGGCGGACCCTCCGCGCCGGTCGGTGAGTGACCGCCCCGCCCCGCCCGGGCCCCGCAGCTCCCGCCCGCCCTCCGGGGCCCTGCCGGGCCGTGGGGGCCCCCGCCGCACCGGAGAGGGGCCCGCTGACCCCGCCCCGGGACCCCCCCACCGGAGCTCAGGGACCCCCCCGATCCGCCCGGGATCACCCCAGGGAATGCCCCCGGCCATGCCCTGCCCTGCCCGGGCCGCCTCCCCCAGCCCGAGAGCCCCCGGGAGCGTCCCTGAGCCCCCCCCAGCCCTCTGGGAGACCCCCTGAGATTCCCTTTCCCATGAGATCCCCTTTCTCCCCCTCCTTTTCCTGCCACCCCCCCACTCTGAGAGCCCCCGGGAGCTTCTCTGAGCCCCCCCCGCCCTGTTGGAGACCCCCTGAGATTCCCTTTCCCCCTGAGATCCCCTTTACCTCCTCCTTTTCCTGCCCCTCCACACCCTGAGAGCCCCCAGGACCTTTATAGACCCCCTCTACGACTCCCCCCTTCCTTCCACCTTTCCTGCCTTTCCTCCCACCCTGTCCTGAGAGACCCCACAACCCCCCCTGGGCCCTCCCAGCCCCATGTGAGACCCCCCCAGGCCCTGAGGCTGCCCCTTCCCCCACCTTTTATATCCTTCTCGTCCCTACCAAAAGCCCCCAGGACCCTCCCTGGGCTCCCCCAGCCCTATATGAGACTCCCCTTCCCTCCCCTTTCCTGTGCCCCCTCCTGAGAGCCCCCCAGGCCCTTCCTGGACCCTCAGGACCTGAGACCCTTCCCCTTCCCTCCCCTTTTCTGCCCCCACTCCCCAGTCCTGAGAGCCCCCCAGGACCCTCCCTGGGACCCCTCCAGCCCCATGTGAGACCCGCTGAGCCCCTTTTCCTTTCCTGTCCCCCTCCCCATCCTGAGAACCCCTAGGACCTTCCCTGGACCCCCAGACCCTGAGCCCCCCCTCTTCCCCTCTCCCTTTTCTGTCCCCCCCAAATCCTGAAATCCTCTGGGACCCTCCCTGGGTCCCTCCAGCCCTATGGGAGACCCTCTGAGCCCCCTTTCCCTCCTTTTCCTGTCCCATCCCTCCTGCCTGAGAGCCCCCAGGACTCTCCCTGGACCCCCAGACCCTGAGCCTCTCCTTCTTTCCCCCTGTGTTCTGCCCTCCCCATTCTGAGAGGCCCCCAGACCCTCTCTGGACCCCCAGGACCTGAGACCCCTCTCCTTCCCTCCCCTTTTCTACCCTCTCCCTCCCAATCTTGAGGGCCCCCAGGGACTGTCCCTGGGCCCCCCCAGCCCTATGTGAGACCCCCCAGGCCCTGAGCCCCCCTTCTGTCCCCCCTGCCTTTCCCAAGAGCCCCAAGGGTGCCTCTAAGCCCCTCCTTATTCCCCCCACTTTTGTACCCCCTGCCCATCCTGAGAGCCCCCAGGACCCTCCCTGGGCCCCCCCAGCCCTATGTGAGACCCCCGAGGCCCCTTCCCCCCCCTTTCCTGCTCTCCTCACCCCCCCCAGCCTGATGCAGCATCCAGACTTCTCATCCCCCCCACCCCCGAGCCTCCCCCCCAGAGCCTCCAGCCCTGCCTGCAGCGGGGTGGGGGGGCCCTGGGCAGGCCCCCCGACCCTCTCTGGGCTCCACACCAACCCCTCAACCCGGGGGGGGGGCCCAGGGGGGTCCCAGGAGGGTGAGGGCTGAGCCAGTTCCCTGTATCCAATACCCTGTTTCCTCTTTTTGCTGTGAAAGGAAGAGAAATCCCCAGCTCAGGGGGATTGGGCTGTGGGGTGGGGACAAGGGGACCCCCCTTGTGTCCCCCCATCCAGTGGTTGATCAGAGACCCCCCTCCGTGACAATTAGGGGTGCCACTGGTCAGCACCATCAGTGGGTACTGAGAGGGGTCTGGACACAAGTTTGGGGTCTTTAGACCCCATCAGGGGGGTCCAGGCCCCCCTTTTGTGGGGGGCACACATTGCTCCCCTCCCTGCCCTGTCCCCCCTCCATCCTCTGCAAGGGAGGGTGATGCAGTAAAACCCACCCCGAGGTGGGGGGACTGGTCTGGGGGGCACCACAAGTGCTCTGTGCACCCCTGGAGTCCAGAGACAGTCCTGGGGGGCTGGGGGGGCTCAGGGGGGCTTCTGGGCGGGGCTTGATGCCTTGGTGATGGTTGGGCATGTCCTGAGGGGTGGGGGACAACACGATGGACACAAGGGGACACATCCCCCGTGGCAGCCAGTGTTCCCCACCAACCTGGGAGGGGGTCTTTGCTGTGCTGGGAGGGGTCCATGTCAGTCTGGGGGGGGGGTTCATGGCTAACTGGGAGACCCCCGAGCCCCCCCACTTCATTCCTGGGGGGGTTTAACGCAGGGACTCTTCCTCTTGGGTACCCCCAAAGTGCATCTTGGGGCCATCCCAGGGTGTGCAGCGGGATTTTGGCTGGGAGGGGGGTGGGGGGGGTTCTCCTGGTGGGGGGTGAGGTGCCATCATGCCCCCCTGACCCCTGGCAGCCCCCCCGTGTCCCGTGCTATGAGTGTTCGCCGTGACTTCTCCGCGAGCAGCTGCAAATGAAAATGGAGGATATGTCTTTGTCTGGCCTGGATAACAGCAAACTGGAGGTGAGCTGCCCCCCACCCGGGGTCTGTATGCCCCCTGGGGTGTCCCTCTGTCCCCCCCATCACTAACAGCCCCCTCCTGGCCCCCCCAGGCCATCGCACACGAGATCTACACGGAGCTGGTGGAGGATGCCTGCCTGGGGCTCTGCTTCGAGGTGCACCGGGCTGTCAAGTGTGGGTACTTCTTCCTGGATGACACGGACCCCGACAGCATGAAGGACTTTGGTGAGCCCCCCAAGCTCCCCCTGGGGTCGGGGTGACACTGGTGACAGGGACACAGCCAACCCCCTGCTTCCAGTGCCACTGGAGAAGCTGTGGGGGAATTGGTGGTCCCCAGGCACAGGGGGTTGGGTTTAAGGGGTGCTGAGGGGGATTAAACACCCAAATGACCCCCTGGCAGTGACCAAACTGTCCCAGAGGGGTAAGTGTGGGGTGAACTGAACCCCAAAACGTGGTGCTGGGCCCTGGGGGGGCACAGCTGGGGTGAGAGGGGAGTGGAGACCCCCCCCCGACTGTGCTGCTGCTGGTTTCAGTCCCCCCAAAAGCTGCCTTGAGGCTCTTGGGGAGGATCTGGCAGCCCAAAGGATCCCCCCCAGAGCAGAATGGGTGTCTCAGGAGGGTCTGGCAGCCCAAAGTACCCCCCCAGAGCAGAGGGGGGGTCTTGGGAGGGTCTGGCAGCCCAAACAGAGGGTCTGGTAGCTCAGAGACCTCCTTGAACCAGAGTGGAAGGGAGGGGGTCTGGCAGCCCAAAGGACCCCCCAGCGCAGAGCAGGGATCTTGGGTGGGGGGCCTGGCACCCTAAAGGGAGGGTCTGTTAGCCTAAAGGACCCCCCAGAGCAGAGAGGGGATCTCAAGAAGGTCTGGCATCCGAAAGAACCCCCAGGATCAAAGTGGGAATCTCAGGAGGGTCTGACAGCCCAAAGGAAGGGCCTGGCTGCCCAAAGCTCTCCCCAGAGCAGAGGGGAGATGTCAGGGGGTTCTTGTGAGGGTCTGGCAGCCCGAGGGACACCCTGAGCAGAAGGGGAGTTTTGGGAGGGTCTCAGTTGGGTTTGGCAGCCCAAAGGAAGGGTCTGGCAGCCCAAAGCCTCCCCCCAGAGCGGAGTGGGGGTCTCAGGGCAGGGTCTGAGCGTGTCCCCCCCGCAGAGATCGTGGACCAGCCGGGCGTGGACATCTTTGGGCAGGTGTACAACCAGTGGAAGAACAAGGAGTGCGTGTGCCCCAACTGCAGCCGCAGCATCGCCGCCTCCCGCTTCGCCCCCCACCTGGAGAAGTGCCTGGGCATGGGCCGCAACAGCAGCCGCATCGCCAACCGCAGGTGGGCACCCCGAGGGCTGGGGGGCACCCCGCAGTGGGGGGGGCCCTGCTGGGGGGCTGGGGGTGTGCTCGGAGGGGAAACGGAGCCTCGAGGGGCTTGGGGGTGTGGGGCCGGGTGTCTTATCCATAGGGAAGCTCAGGCGTGGGGGGGGGACGTGCTGGGGGTGTTCTCAGAGGGAAATGGAGGTGTGAGGGGTGCTCAGGGTGGGGGGCTGGGTCTGTTCTCCATGAGGACACTGAGGCATGAGGGGAGCTGAGGATGTGGGGCTGGGTGTCTTCTGGATGGAGATACTGAGGCACGAGGTGGGCTGTGTCTTCTCAGTGGGGAAACTGAGGCATGGGGGGGGGCTGGGATTGTTCTCAGAGGGAAAACTGAGGCGCAAAAGGGGTTGAGGGAGGGTGGCTGGATCTCTTTTCCATGGGGACACTGAGGGATGAGGGAGGCTGAGTGTTATGGGGGGGCTGGGATTGTTCTCAGAGGGGAAACTGAGGCACGAGGAGGTTGGGGGCGTGGGGCCAGGTGTCTTATCCATAGGGAAACTGAGGTGTGAGGGGGGATGAGTGGGGGGGGCTGGAGGTGTTCTCTGTGGGGAAACTGAGGCACAAGGGGTGTTGGTGGTAGGTTTCTTCTCTGTGGGGGTGCAGTAGATTCAGGCACTGATGAACCTGGGGATGGGAGTTCAGCATCAAGGTCTCCCCTCTCCTTGCTTTTCATTGTGGGGGTGTCTGTTCTTGCCCAACAACCCTGGAGTCCAACCTCCAGTTGCTCTTGTTCTCACCCATGGCTTCACTCCATCCTGGGAAAACAAACTGGAAATCCTGGGTCTTCTGTCCCCCCCTGCTCTTGGTGGGGGTCCCTCTCTGGATCCTGGGATGCTGGGGAGGATGGGAAGTGCGGGATGGATCCTGGGGAGCCAGGCACGGTGCAGGGTGGGTCCTGGGGGCCAGGGTGGATGGGAGGGCACAGGACAGATCCCGGGGTGCCAGAGAGGATGTAGGATAGATCCTGAGGTACTGGGGAGGACAGGAGGGTACAGGGTAAATCCTGGTGTGCCAGGGAGGATGGAAGGGTGCAGGACGGGTCCTAGGGAGAATGTGGGACAGATCCTGGGGTGCTGGGGAGGATGTGGGGGCCAGAGAGAATGGGAGGTGCAGGATGGGTCCTGAGGAGGATGCAGGATGGGTCCTGAGGAGGATGCAGGATGGGTCCTGGTGAGGATGCAGGATGGGTCCTGGGGTGCTGGGGAGGATATGAGGTGCAGGAGAGATCCTGGGGTGCTGGGGGAGGCAGGGGATGGATCCTGGAGAGTGGATGAGGGTGCACAATGAACCCTGGGGTGCTGGGGAGGTGGGAGGGTACAGGACAGATCCTGGGGTTCCATGGAGGACGTGGGACAGGTCCTGGCCATGACCCCCCCTCCCCTCCCCGCACAGGATCGCGAGCAGCAACAACCTGAACAAGTCAGAGAGTGACCAGGAGGACAACGACGACATCAACGACAACGACTGGTCCTATGGCTCTGAGAAGAAAGGTGGGGGCTCCCTGGTCCCCTCAGGGGTGGGGGATGTGTCCTGCCTGCCCTGTGGCCCTTGATCCCAAGTCCAGGGTGGGTGTGTGGGGGGGTTTCATCCATGGGGAAGGGGATGCCCTGGGCTTGCAAATCTACCAGAAAAGGTCAAATCTGTCCCTTCTCTGTCTCTCCCCGTAGCAAAGAAGAGGAAATCGGATAAGGTGAGGGGGCAGGGGGTGCTGCGGGGTGTGGGGACCATGGGGGGGACATGGGACACCCCTCAACACCCCCCTGTTGTTGCAGAACCCCAACTCGCCCCGCAGGTCCAAGTCCCTGAAACACAAAAATGGTGAGGGGGCGGGGCTTAACTGCTGGGGGTGGGGCTTTTGCATTGGGGAGGGGCTTACACTGCCTGGGGTGGGGCATCTGTGGGGGCGGAGCATCGCAGGGGTGGAGCTTGGGGTGGGAGCAGAGTTTTGGGGGGGCATTTGGATGGGGGGGATGTAAATGAGGGTGGAGTATTTTGGATGGGTGGGGTGTAAAGGGGCAGGTATTTGGGGTGGGAGGGGCATTGGTGGGTGGGGCATAAAGTGGGGCAGGTATTGGGTGGGAGGGGCATTGGTGGGTGGGGCAGCTGCAGTGGGTGGGGCTTGGGGGGAGGTGGGGCTCTCACTATGGTGGCAGTGGGAGGGGGCACCAGGGGTCCCGTGGGGGGCCAGACCACAGGCAGGACCCCCCTCATCCCCCCTCACCCCTCCTCTCTCCCAGGCGAGATCGGTGGGAACCCCGATCCCTTCAAGGTGAGCCCAGGAGAAACAGCACCTGGTCCCTCCTCTGCCCCCTCAGGGGGGTCCTGTCACCCCCCTGGGAGGGTCCCCCCTGCTCCCCCCCAGCCCTGACCCCACTCTCTGCCCCCCCAGTACAGCAACTCGGCAGGAATCAACTACGAGACGCTGGGCCCCGAGGAGCTGCGGACACTGCTCACCACGGTGTGGGACTGGGGGGCATGGGGGCACAGGGGCCTCCAGAGGGACCTCATCCCTGGCCAGACAGGGGGCACAGGGGCTGGGACCCCTGGGATTTTTCCCAGCTCAGCTTCTTCCCACTGGAGCTGGTTAGAGGCTGGGAACAGGGATGTACAGTGGGTCTGATCCTGGGGGATGTGGTGGCCCAGTGTGGTGGCTGCCTTCTCTGGGGGGATGGGACAGCACTGGGAGGTTGGGGGGTCCCTAGGATTGGGGTCCCCAGGGCTGTGATAGTAGAGCACAGCCCAGGGGTCACTCACCTGTCCCCCCCCCACTCACCTGTCCCTTCCCTCCCCAGCAATGCGGGGTCATCTCCGAGCACACCAAGAAGATGTGCACCAGGTGAGAGCATCCCGGGCTAGCGTCCCTGTAGGGCTCGGGGGGGGGCTTCGTGGGGGTCCCCAACGTGCCTGGATGCCCACGGGGTGAGGGGAAACACCTGGCTGACCCCTGAATGCCATCCCCCAGGTCCCTGCGGTGTCCCCAGCACACGGATGAGCAGCGCAGGGCAGTCCGGGTTTACCTCCTCGGTCCCTCCGCGTAAGTGGGCACAGCCTCGGGGGTCCCCAAGGTCCTGGGGTCACTGTCCCGTGTGAACAGGGACTGGGGGGGCTGCACGGGGTGCTCAGGGGGGGCTGGGGACAGGGAGGCCCCCGGGAAGGGACGGGAGGTTAGGGCTGGGGTTGGGATGTGCAGTGGTGGGGAGCTGGGCCGAGCTCAGGGCATCCCCTTGGCATTGTGGGGGGCTCTGTCCCCCCCACCCCCCATGCCAGGGGCTGGGGACTCCCTGACACCTGTGCCCAGGTCCCTGCCCGAGGCAGAGGCCGGCGTGGAGAACGACAGCTTCGAGGTGGCCGAGAGCCAGGCCCTCATGAGCCGCCTGCAGTGGGACGGCTCCTCCGACATCTCCCCCTCCGACTCGGCCTCCTCCAAAGCCAGTGAGTGTTTGGGGGGCTGGGGGGAAAATCTAGGGGCACAGACCCCTCCATGGGGCAAATCTGGGGGCACAGATCCCTCCATGGGGCAGATACTGGGGCATAAAATCCTCCATGGGGCAAATCTGGGGGCAGACACCCCTCTGAGTGGGAAATCCTGAGGAACAGGCCCCTTCATGGAGGCAAATCCTGGGGCACAGAGCCCTCTGCAGGGCAAATTCTGGGGGACAGACCCCTTTGAGGGCAAAGCTTGGGGCACAGACCCTTCTGTGGGGGCAAAACTGGCTCTTCTGGCGTCTCCCCAGTGCAAGAGGGGATGAACACACTGTGGCTCCAAAGCCTAGAGCATCTGGGACATCTTGTCACCCACCATCCCAGGGTGGGGGAAATGTTTTGGGGTACATTGTCCTGGGTGTGGATTGGTGATGGGGGGGATCTTCTCTGTTTTGGGGGGCCCATCTCCTCCCTGACACCCCCATTTCTTCCTTTTTGCCCCTTTCCCAGGTACAAACAACTCCGAGTCCCGCAAGACCAAGAAGAAGAAGCCCCACCTGGGGCTGGTGAGTGGTGCCCCAGGGCTCGGCTCCAGCAAGAAGAAGAAGCCCAAGCCCCCCGCCCCCCACACCCCCAGCATCTATGACGACATCAACTGAGCCCCCCAGAGCTGGGGGGGGCCCAGGACGGACAGACGGACGGCCACGGGCCGGGGCAGCCCCCCCAGAGCCCCCTGGGTTGGACACAAAGTGGGTACCTGGGGCACGGAGGACTCGGCCGTCGCTGGAGCGGGGCTGGATCTGGGGAGCCCCCACTAGTGCCCCCGTTCCTCCCTGCCTGCCCCAGTGCCTCTATTTATTCTGTGACAGTTTTTGTACGTGGGGCTCCCGTTGGGGCACTGAGGGGGCACCTGGCTCGGACATGGGGGTATGACCACCCCCTTCCCCTCCCCAGTGCCCCCCAAACCCAGCTGTGCCCCCTCCCATACCCACTCCTCACTTACCCCAGCAGGGTGAGGGGCACCTGAACCCCCCGGGCAAGTCCAGGCCTGGGTGAGCGGGGTGTGGATCCCCTCTGCTGCAGGGTTTTGGGGTGAGCCCCCCCCCGGGCTGCCCCCCCATCCCTGCCCCGGGCTGGCTCTCGCTGGTCGGGCTGGCTCAGGGGTGGGGGGCACGCTGGAGGGGGGTGTTTCCCACTCAGAGGACAAGTGGGGACACCCCTGTGCCCCAAATCTCTTCAGCTGTGGGGGCCTGGCAGTGCCCTCACAGGGGGCTTCGGGGGGGCTGCATGCTGCATCCTTCGTGTTTGGGGCTGTTGGGGGGGGCTCTGGAGGTGGGGGGGTAGCTGCTGTGACCGTCTCTGTGCTGAACTGTGTGGGGAGGGGGGGCCCCAACCTGCCAGGGACAGCCTGGGGGGGCTGAGAGTGGAGCAAAATGGGGGGGGTAGGCACAGCACAGTCTGGCTTCAAGGCAGAGCCCCCCCACCTCATCCCCCCAGGGCAGCTCTGTTGTTCCGCTCCCCGCATGCCCGGGGACCTGCTGCTGCAGTCAGGGGGGTCATTGGGGACCCCCCACCAGCTCTGGCTGGTGTTTGCACTCCCACAGGCTCTGCTTTTGGCTGGGGGGGCCGGGACCAGCGCCCTGCTGTGTGGGCTGGGGGGGGGACAGGTCCCTCTGGCTGGATCCAGGTCACCCCCAGCCCCACGATAACCCGAGCTGTTCTCCATCACAGGGGCTGCATCAGGGACAGGGTTGGTTCTGTCCCCTCCGTTGTACCCCCCCATGGCTGTCTGACCCCCCCACCCCCCTTGGCCCTGTGTCCCTGGGGGGGGACTGTGTCTGTCCCCCCACCCCAGTGCCCTGGCTCGTCCTCTCGGTGGGGCTCACAAATTATGGTGCTCTCGACTCTGGATTCACTATTGTTTTCAAACTGCTGCTAAAGGCTGGGCTGGGGGGGTTCCACAGAGCCCTGGGCACCCCAAAATGCTGCGGGGGGGCCCCTCCTCACTGCATGGGGACCCCCGTGTGGCCCCTCCCGGTGTGGCTTTGGGGCTGGGGGGGCCTGGCCACCGGAGCACACCGAGCTGGCCTTAGTGTGCCCTGGGGCCTGCAGATGGGGGTGTGGGCACCCAAAAACACAGGGGGTCACCCTGAGCCCCCCGCAGCTGCTTGGGGAGGGCACAGTGAGCTGGGGTCTTGGGGGGGGGAACAGCTTGAGCCCCTCTGGCTGCGGGAGAGGCGCTGCAAATTTGGGGTCCAAGGGGTGTAACGGGGCTTGGGGGGGGTTGGATGTGCCCTGTGACCCCCCCAGGTCAGTGTCCTCACCCCCCAGCCCCCAGTGTTTCTGCGTGTCCCCCCTCCGGGGGGAGCTGAGCCCTTGTGAGGTCTGTGTGTCCCGTGAGTGGGTTGTGGCTGCCCCTGTAAATAAAACTGCATCTTGACTTGGTATCCCTGGCATTAATTACGGCTGGTTAATTAAGCAAGGCTGTTACCCACCCCCGACCACCACTCCATTTACTGCGTGTGGGGCTGGATTTGTTTTTATAACCCCCCCAAAAGCACGGGAAGGGGGGAAATAAGCAACCCCAGGGTGGGAAGGTGAGCGCTGGGGTGACTTAACACCCTTTATTTGCTTTAAAAAGACCTTGGGAAGAAGCCACGGCCCATTCCAGTGCTGTCCCACTCCCCCAGAGCTGGGATTGGGAATGGGACGAATGGAGTTCTGAGGGGGGGGGGCACAGCCCCTTTTTGGGGGGATAAAATCTGGCAGCGAGACTGGGCCAAACAGCCCCTGCCGTGCTGGCTGTGGTCACTGTAATGCCACAGGGACGGGGACAGTGGGGACAGGGACACTGGGGTGCCTCCCCAGCTCCTTCCCGCCTCATCCCGACTGTCCATACACCCCGAAGGCCAGGAAGGTGACCAGGACGGTGACCCCGATGAGGGACACGGTGGCCGGGGTGGTGAAGAGCTGCCGGTAGTTGACGCGGAAATACCACCCGAGCGCCAGCACCACCATGACTGTGGGGACCATGAGGGTCCCCCCGCCCAGGGGCAGCCCCGGGGCCGCGGGGCCGGCGGGAACAGGGTCGGGCAGGGCGGGGGTGGCCGTGGTGGCTCCCCGGGAGCGGTGGCAGTGGATGACACAGTTGTCCGTGATGCGGAGCGAGCGCAGTGTCCGCGCCTGGTCCTGCAGCAGCTGCCCGCGGTAGATGAGCTTCATCTGGCTCTCCTGGCCCGCAAAGTATTTGCTGTGGGAGGAGGGCAGAGGTTGAAGGTGGCAGAGAATGGGCTCGTGGACACACCTGGGGCTGATGGAAACCCCCCCCATTGTGAAACGGGGAGGGGACAGCACAGGGGGACAGTGATGGCACCGCCACCACGTGCCACCTTCTATTTTAAACTTGTTTTAAATCCCCCCTCCTCGGTGTTTTTGGAAGAACAAGATGGAAAAAAACCCTCTCCCGTTCTGCTGGGTGAGGGCTGTTTGCACTCGGGGGGGCACAGGAGCTGAGGGGGGGTGGGCTGGCGGCCTGGCACAGCTCCCCACGTCCCCTTTCCCTCGGGACTTACCTCTTGAGAACCCCCACGGTGTCCTCGGGCCGGGCCATCGCCACCTCCTCGGTGTCGTTGAGGAACTTGAGGCGGATCTTGATGAGTCCGGGGCACAGATCCCCCTCCCCGGGGGCGCGGGGCTCAGCCATCCCTTGGGACAAGCTCTGGACATCCAGCAGCTGCTCCAGGCCGGGGTCGGGGGTGGTGCCGCTGTCCCCCTGCGCCGCCGCTCCTCCTTCCTCCTCAGTTTTCTCCTCCGTGTTCTCGGGGACCCCGGGGGGCTCCGGGGCTTCTGCCGCCCCCGCGGCCCCCCCGTAGGGCGGGAGGGGCCCGAGGCGGATGACAGCGGCGTCCCCCGTGCCCAGGGCCTGGCTGGTGCCATCGGCCACGTACGTGGAGAGCCAGGCCAGTACCAGCGCCAGCGCCAGCACCGCCAGCCCGGCCACCAGCGTCACCTCGTCCCCCACCCCCGGGATGAGGGGGGCGGCGGGGGGCTCCATCTCCGGGATCCTCCCGCTCAGCCTGGGGTCTTTATTCCTTCCGCAACCCCCTGGTGCCCGGTGTGGATGCCAGCGGGGACCCCCGGGGTGGCAGCAGGGACCACTCCGCGGTCACCTTCCAACAGATCCCGGCGCTGCTCCCGCTACCCGGAGATCCCGAGGGACGGGAGTTCCTCACCGCAGGCCGTTCCTTCTCGCTCCCGAGCGGTGCCGGGGCCGCGCTCCCCTCGCCGGGGCTGACGAAGGGTCCCAGGGGGTCCCACAGCCCCTCGGTGCCCAGCCCGGGCAGCGTCAGCCCATCCCCGACCTGGGCGGAGCGGAGCGATGCGGTGAGAGGGGCGGGGGGGACGGGCAGCACGGGCAGAGCCGGGCCGGGCCCGGGGCGGCGGAAGGAACCGGGGGGCCCGGTGGATCCCGCTGTGTCCCTGCCAGCTCCGGGGGGTCCCTGCTCGTCCCGGTGTGTCCCGGCTAGTCCCTCACGGTCCCGGTGTGCCTGCTGTGTGTTCCCGTCATTCCCGGGGGTCCCGCTGTGTCCCCACCATCCGCGGGGGTCCTGGTGTGTCGCTGCCCCTCCCGGTGTGTCCCTTCCATCCCCAGGGGGTCTCCAATAGTCCCGGTGTGTCCCTGCCGTCCTCGCTGGGTCCTGGTTTGTCCCGCTGTGTTCTGGGGCGTCCCTGCCATCCCCGGGGGTCCCGCTGTGTCCCCGGGGGTCCCGCTGTGTCTGGAGATCCCGGTGTGTCCCTGCCATCCCCTCTGTGTCCCCGGGGGTCCGGGTTTGTCCCGGGGGTCCCGGTTTGTCCCGGGGGTCCCGGTGTCCCCCCTCCCCACTCACCGCCTCCCGCCGCCGCCGCCCGCGCGCCGGAAGCGCCACGTCAGACGGCGCCGCCGCCAGGGGGCGGGAGCGGGCGGTGGGCGCGCGCGCGTTACATCACAGCCCCGCCCATCGGGCTACGCCCACTGGGCGGGGTTTGTGGAGAAGGAGGCGGGGTTAGCAGAACACATCCCTCTCGGGGGCGGGTCATGGGCGGGGCCTGTGGGGCGGGGCGGGGTCAGTGAGTGAGTCATCACGCCCATGATTGGTGGGCGCGACCGGTGGGGGCGTGGCCACGGAGGGCGGGGTTTGGGGCGGGGCCCGGGGCTCCGCGGGGCAGGGCCTCGGGAGCCACGTGTGACACCCCCCGGGCGGGGCTGCCCGGGGCGGGACCCTCCCCGAGGCCCTGAACCCACCCCGAGGCCCTGAACCCACCCCGAGGCCCTGAACCCACCCGGGGCTGAACCCCTCTGGAGCTGAGCCCCCCGCCCCGGGAGGCTGAATGAACCCTCCGGGGGCTAAACCCACTCCAGGGCTGAACCGCCCTCGGGGGCTGAACCCCCCTCAGGGCTGAGCCCCCTCCGGGCCAGGAACTCCCTCTGGGGCCTGAGCCTCCCTGGTCTGGACACTCCCAGCCCTGGCTGTCACATCCCCAGAGCCTGTCACCCCCCTTTGCAGCCCCCACATCCTCCAGGGCCCATCTGTCACCTCCTTGATACCTGTGACCCCCTGGCCCTGTCCCCCCAGTCCCCTGACCCCCCAGAGCAGTAGCCATTGCCCATCTACTCCCCACAAGGACAGAGACGCCTCGAGAGCCACCTCTGCTACGTCCTTTTATTAACACCAGCACATGGGGGGGGTCACAGGGAGGGGATAGTGGTGGGGACACGGGGAGGGAACACAGGGAGGGAACACCAGTGGGGAAGCAAGAGCTGCTCTCAAGAAATGACCCCCTCGATGTGCAGCTGGAGGTACCGTCGCAGGGCGGGTGGCAGTGCCAGCTTGGGGACAGCGCTGTGGCAGCGGGAGCCCAGGTGGCTCCGGATGGCCCAGCGTGCCAGGTGCTGCAGCCGCCGTGGCTGCCCCGCCATGCGCACGGCCGAGGCGTAGAACTCCTGGTGCTCCTGGGTTGGGGGGGACATGGGGGTCAGCGAGCTGGGACCGGGATGCAGGGACACCCAAGGACACCCCAGGGCACCTAAGGGGACCCCCTTACCTCCCACAGCTCGGGGGGCACGTCCTCCGCCCATCCCTCGGTGGGTGGCACACGGTCGTAGGCGTTGAGCATCACCTCCAGCGCCGGCGGGTGCTGGCAGCACAACCTGAGCATCTGCCAGCAGAGCCGTGTCACCGAGGGCGTGACACCGCCACCACCACCCCGTGACCCCCCACCACCCACCTTGGGGTGCCCGGGGAGGGCGCCGTGGTCAAGCAGGAGCACAAGGGTCTCCTCGGGGCGCTGGTCCCGGTACTCGTGGACGGCACGGAGGGCACAGTCCATGGGGGTGTCACCGGTACCATTGGGGATGGTGGCGTCGGCGCCGTGGCACAGCAGCAGCCGGGCCAGCCCGGGGTGCCCGTTGGCACAGGCGTTGTGCAGAGGTGTGTGGCCCTTGCGCCCCGCGGCCCCCGGGTCGGCACCGGCCGCCAGCAGCCGCTCGGCCACGCGCAGGTACCGCTCGGCGTCCTTGGGGTGCTCGGCTGCGGCCGCCGCGGCGTTCAGGGGGGTCTCACCCTGGTGGGTGCGGTGGGAGGGGTCGGCGCCGTGGTGCAGGTACAGCTCCACGTGGGCCACCAGCCCCTGGCGCGCTGCCACGTGCAGGGCCGTCACCTGCCGGTCGCGCGTGCCCAGGTTCACCCGCGCGCCGTGAGCCAGCAGCAGCTCCGCACACCTGGGTGAGGGGGTGGGGGGCGAAGGGTGAGGGGGACACTCGTGGAGAGAGGTGGCACTTGTGGGGACGCCCCCCAGGGACATTCCCAGGACAACCCAGAGAGCCCTGGCACCCATGGGACACCCCTAGAGACACCCCCAGGGGCATCCCCAGGGACACCCTTAGGAATCCCCAGAGAGCCCTGGCACACTTGGAATACCCCCAGGGACATCCCAAGGGACACCCCTGAGACACCCTGGAGAACCCTGGGACACCACTAGGGACACCACTAGGGACACTCCAAGGGACACCCCTGGGACACCTCAGAGAGCCCTGGCTCCCATGGGACACCCCCAGGACACAGGTGCTGCATTGGGGGGCTGCAAACAGGGGTCCCCACCAGCATAAGGGGTCTTGGCTGAGCTCTGGGGGGTTTAGAGGCGGTGGTCGCGATTTGGGCAGGAGGTGGAGCCTGGCACGCAGGTGCCCCCCCATTCCCAGCCCCCTCCCCGTACCGCAGGCTTTGGGGGGCAGTG